TGATCTGGGAAACAATTTGTAGCGAAAGGCAAGATGATTTACAACAAAAAGGAGCGCCCGAAATTTTATAAACAGACTTTTGGGAGTCTGGATATCATGAAAAATATGTATCTGTACAAAATAAAATTATTTGCATTTTTGAATAACTAGTCTATCCCTGTATGGTAACTGTTTTGCAATTTTCGTTCTTCTTATGGTATTTATTTCCGCCCAAAGATGTGTTAAAAATGGTGTTGAAATTCGGAATTTTCGACGCTTATAACTTTTGAACATAATCTTTTTTTTACTTTTTTGTTTCCATACAGGGCTAGATAATGATGAGACAAATTGAAATTATTTTTTATTTTATACTTACACTATCAAACAGTGGAGTAATCGCCAGACTACGTTTGTATGGAAGAACGAGTGACTAGTGTACCCTTAAACGAAAAAATTTAAAAATATTTTATGTAGTTCGGTTAAGTTTGATTTTTAAGTTTTATTATAAGAATTATTTTTAGTAATAATGAGTGTACGTAATTTTTTTATAGAAGAGGGGGCAAACGAGCATCACTAATCAGCTGGTGATCCTAAAGGTACTTCATGAGCTGGCAGTTTACAATGGACTCCATTGTTTTGGAGAACAAGGAGGTGATGACGATAGGCCTGTAGTTGGAAGGGTCTGAGCGGTCGCCTTTTTTTCGATGAAAGCCGTCTTCCATGATTTTGCGACTACACCTAGGGAGTAGGAGTACCGGAAAAGACGCGTTAAAATGCCACCTGAGCACACGTCCTCAGCACAATTGGGGGGGATTCCGTCAGGCCCACTCGACTTGTGAATGTCCAGGGAGAGGAGTGCTTAGCGAACCGAGCGCTGTGTGAACTGCACTTCTGGGATTGAGCACTCACAACGCGGGATGGTCGGCAGCGTACTCCCCCGTCATCGAGAGTCGAGTTGGACGCAAAGAAAGAGCCTAGCAGATCGGCTTTCTCCTTTGCGGTATGGGCCAATGAGTCATCCTCCTTATGCAGAGATGGAAGAGATGGCTGACAGAAATTCCCCTGGACCGCCTTGGCGAGAGACCAGAATGTATGTGTTCCAGAAGGAAGGCGAACTAGTTTCTCGACAATTCTGCCTATGTGCTCTGATATGTTGGAATGACTCTGACTGGTATGCGGAATTATACTACTTTTTTAGAGCGCTGGTTTTACATCCCGGGACGTTGATGCGTCAGCCCAGGCTTGGTAGCACTCCTGCTTATAGCATGATGCTATTTTACAGGAGTGACCAAACCATGGCTGAGATTTGCCTACGATGGGCACCACAGAGGAAGGAATAAAAAGTTCCATACCCTGAAGTACCACATCAGCGACAGAATCCGCAACGATGTTGGGATCGTCCGGCGAGAAGCAAACCCGCCCCCAAGAGTAGGAAGCAAAGAAAGACCGCATCATATCCCAATCGGCTGACCTATAGTGCAAACACGGCGGCAGCCTGCAGAATGCAACTGTGATTTCAGCATGAGGATTTGTTAAACTCGTACCAAAAGGAAAGTGGCATAACATTTCTATAATTAGAACCGTTACAGGTTTTTATCTGAGTACAGTAATATTACGAAAATAATTTATAATCATAAAAACTTAAATAATCAACATTCTTTTTATTACAATTTTTATTTATTTAAACTTTTGCATAGGAAGTAAAATGTGACATTTTTACCACTATTAGTAGACAATCAATAAGCACTAATAGCAGAAGTATGTGTTTAATCAAATCAAGCACCAAACCATTATAAAATATTTAAGCTTTCATATAGTGAGGTAGACGCAAACTTACGCAACTTCAATACTGCTCGTGTTGAAGAAGCGATTGAGCGGAACCAGGGCTCCAAAGTCTTTGCCAGAGATCTGTCTGCCAGCAAGAGCCAACTGTCAAAGCTGAAGACTGAGTGTGGCGGCATCGTTTCTGGGACACCTGAGATTTTGTGAGATTGAGAGGTTCTATGGGCAGCTGTACACATCATCGTTGGAGCCACACGCAAGTGTGAGTAACGATCCAAGAGCAAGTCTTATCCGACACTATTCCGATGACGTCAGTCTGAGCGAGATTAGAATGGCTCTCCAGCACCTTAAAAACGGCAAGTCCCCCGGCAAGGATGGAATTACAGGGGAGATTTTGAAAGCGGGTGGAAAACCGGTACTTGAAGTCCTTCAAAAGCTTTTTAATTGCGTCATCCATGGTGGCACTACCCCCGAGGCGTGGAGCAGAAGTGCGGTGGTCTTGTTCTTCAAGAAAGGTGACAACGCTCTTTTGAATAACTACAGACCGATATCCCTTCTGAGCAGCGTCTACGTGCTGTTCGACAGTCATTACGAACCGTCTCGCACGCAGACTCGACGACTTCCAGCCTCCCGAACAAGCCGGTTTCCGAAAAGGCTTTAGTATCATAGATCACATACATACCCTTCGGCAAGTTGTACAGAAGTCCGAAGAGTACAATCTGCCACTTTGCCGTATGTGCACTAAGGCCTTCTCGCCTTTGATTCCTTCGAAATTTGGGTGGTGCTACAGTCTCTTCAGCGGTGTCAAGTTGACTGTCGGTATATCGAAGTGCTGAAGTGTTTTTACAGTAGGGCTACGATGGCTATCCGAGTACAGAACCAGAGTACGAAAGCTATCCAACTGCAGAGACATGTAAGACAGAGTAACATTATTTCCCCGAAACTCTTCACCGCTGCATTGGAAGACGTTTTCAAGCTACTGGACTGGAAAGGATACCGTATTAACATCAATGGTGAGTACATCACTCATCTTCGATTTGCCGACGATATAGTCCTTATGGCAGAATCGCTGGAGAACTTAAGCACTATGCTCAATGGCCTCAATAGAGCCTCCCAACGGATAGGTGAACATGGACAAAACAAAGATCATGTTTACCTTATGTCCATGTCACACCTATGCCCGTAGTTGTTGGGAGCACTAAGCTCGAAGTTGTTGACGAGTACGTTTACCTGGGACAAATAGTCCGATTAGGTAAGTCCAACTTCGACCGAGAGGTCAATCGACGGATTCTACTCGGCTGGGCAGCGTTCGGGAAATTACGACACATCTTCTCGTTAGGTATACCTCAAAACCTGAAAACTAAGTTGTACAACCAGTGCGTGTTGCCAGTGATAACCTACAGAACCGAGACGTGGTCCTTCACTGCTGGCAGTACGAGGACGTTCAAAGTCGCTCAGCGAGCTATGGAGAAGACTACGCTCGGGGTTTCTCTGCGTGATAAACTTAGAAATGAGGATATCCGCAGTAGCACCAGAGTGACCGACATAGCCCAACGGATTAGTAAGTTGAAGTGGCAATGGACCGGCCATAAAGCTCGAAGAACCGACAACTGTTGGGGAAAAAAGGTTCTCGATTGGCAGCCTCATACCAGTAGGCGAAGTGTAGGGCGACCCCCCACTGGGTGGAGTGACGACCTGGTAAGACATGCAGGAATTCGATGGATGCAGGTGGTTCAGGACTGTGCTTTGTGGCATTACTTGGGGGGAGACCTATGTTCAGCAGTGGACTTGTGAAGGGCTGTAATGATGAATGATCGCTTGATTTAGAATTCAATTTACTTCATCGTTCGAATAATAATAAGCGTAGACCTATTTTCCTAAATGTTTTAGGCATATAAAGTAATAAAATTAAATAACAAAACAAAAACGAGTATATCGATGTCGATTTTTGCTAACATTGCGAACAAAATCACTAAAGACGTATGTTTGTAAAGTAACGTATGCTATAATAAAGATGTCAAGTTTCTAGTAAATCAGAACATACGAGTGTACTTACATTCATATATGGCAAAGTGTAAAGAGACCAAAGATGACCACTTCTATTTCCACACTTGAATTATACGCAACATCTTTCAATAGATTTGTCTATTTTTGCCTTATTCGAAAATTAAATAAGAAAAAGCGAGACAACTATATTGACTCAATTTATGTTGAATTGTTTAAAGTGTTTGCAATTTATGTTGAAAGTTCTCTCTATGCATACGTATGTATGTAATTACTCTAAGGTTTATTTAATAGTAAGGAATTTATAGATAAAATATTTATTACTTCAAAGGTTATAAATAAAGATATGAAAAAATGTATACCTTTCCTGATAGCGTCGTCACATGATGCATGTGAAAAATATAAGGAAAAAAATACGTGTGGCACTAGGGGACTGCCGCGGTAAAGCTATTGCATAGCATTTATATCAACTTATGCAATTATAATTATTTATTTATTTTATTTATGCAGTATTTTTTTTCTTTGTTAGCAAAAATGTTCGCTCCATGCAGGAATTGAACCCATGATCCGCTACGCTGCATTCGGGTGGTTCAGCCACTTCGCCAAACGTGCCATCAAAAATAATATATAAATATAAAAAATATATTTAAGTATAAAGTCTGTGTTTATTAAATACTCTAAATTCACGAAAGTTGCTAGCATGACGACGACACATATAAATCCAAAGAATATACTTCTTGCAATAAACTATATTATTGTTTAAAATATTTTTTTGTTATCGTACAATACATGCAAGTATAAATATAATTGCTTATATAAAATATAAGTAGTATGCATGTAGACTAGTTGCATGATGCAACTAGTCTACACGCATACATCTAGTAGCACGCACGGAAACACCGTGCAGAAGTCTGCCAAACTTAAACGACGTTTAGACGATGTTAGGTTTTGGGGTGTTAGGTTTATTTTCGTTACGGAATTTCTTGATTCGGTCGCCGCGCTCAAAGCCCGCGATAAAAGCTATGCAATAGCTTAAAAATATTATTATTAAATCAAATTACATATCCATGTAAGATTTTTCTGCATTATGTTGACGAAATTTCCTTTGACGTTCAGCATTTGATTTTGGTACTGTTTCTTTTTTTTTTATTTTTTTTTCTTCATTTTTCTTCAAATCTTTCTGACGCTGATAATATGCCCTTTGACGTGCATTAGTTTTTTTTCTTTTTAGCTCTTTACGCTTTTCTTCTCTATAAAACGAAAATATCTAGGTATAAATAATAGGTATAAATAAATAGGTATAAATAGAGTAATGATAAACCAAAACAAAATTATTCATTTAAAAAAAATAACGATATTAAGAAGTGATTATCGAATTTCGCGCGATGTACATTTATATACATATAATATCATATATACTTTCTCTGCGCGGCATTAATGTGCATTATCTATACACCAAAAACAAAGGTACTGAATAGTACACGTGCTTGGTTCGATGGCTTCTGTTATATACATAACGAAGAATGAATTTATATATATATATATATATATATATATATATATATATATATATTTATATACGTGGTAGAGCCATGCTGCAGTTATATTAGTAGTATAGTTGTAGCACGAATGGGTCGGCTCGACCGGGGAAGGACCACGCTCTCACAGAATACCAGCGTGAAATAGTAGCTTAATGCTGCTGTATTTCGTATGGTGAGTGTAGAGAACCGGAGACCCTTTTTACTGGAAACGAGGCATTCCATCTTAGTCCTCACGGGTGACAACGCATCTGCATTTTGATTCGTAATCGAGGATAGATGTAGATGTCTATGGGCCACAGCAACCACTTACCATCAGGTGGACTGTGTGCTCGTTTGTCACCCTATCCTATATATATATATATATATATATATATATATATATATATATATATATATATATATATATATATATATATATGTATATATAATACATAGTCACACAAAATGCCTTTTTTATTTTACCCAGCAGTGCTTAGCATTTCCGACCGGGAGACCGTATGGAAGGAGAAGGAGCTCCACGGGAGGTTCTACAAAGCTCTACATGAGCCTTTCGTAGACACAGTAGCCTCCCTCCACTGGCTACGTTTCGGTGACCTATTCGGGGGAAACCGAGGGTTTTGTCTGTGCAATACAGGATCAGGTTATTAAGACCAACAACTATCGGAGATACATCCTAAAGGATGGCACCGTCGACGTCTGTCGAGCTTGTCGCCATCCCGGGGAGTCACTTAGGCGTGTCATCTCCGGTTGTTCGGCGCTTTCTAACTCTGAGTACTTGCACAGGCACAACCTAGTAGCCAGAATTCTACACCAGGAGCTCGCTCTGAAATACGGTCTCGTGGACCGGAAATTGCCGTATTACAAGTACTTGCCGGAAGCCGTGCTCGAAAATGACCGCGCCAGGCTCTATTGGGACCGGGCCATCATCACAGACAGGACTATTCTTGCGAATAAGCCTGATATTGTGCTGATGGACCGGGCACAGTCAAGGATATTTTTGGTCGACATTACCATTCCGTATGACGAGAACCTCGTGAAAGCCGAAACAGACAAGCCTACAAGAATTTTAGTTTTCGCCCACTGTATTACAAGAGGTACTATAAACTTAAAAGTGTTTTTGTAAAATCAGAAAATGGCAAAACGGTTTGGGAAATCGGTGTATTTAGTTTTCTCATTCGGTGATTGCGATTTTTTAACCGTGACGTTATTTTTTTCTTTTTGGGTGTGTTTTTGATATAAAATAATAACCATGATTAATTATTTCTCTTTGAATCATAATCTAATAATAAAATCTTTTAAATATAGCAATCAAATATTCAAAGATATATATAATAATTCAAAGTACAAAATACTCGTAAATGAGAAAGTAAAAATAACGTAAAAAAGTTAGAAAGCGCTGAACAACCGGAGATGACATGCCTAAGTGACTCAACGGGATGGTGACAAGCTCGACAGATGTCCACGGTGCCATCCTTTAGGATGTATCTCCGATAGTTGTTGGTCTTAATAACCTAATCCTGTATTGCACAGACAAAACCCTCGGTTTCCCCGCAGAGATCACCAAAGCGTAGCCAGTGGAGGGAGGCTACTGTGTCTACGAAACACTCATGTAGAGCCTTGTAGAACCTCCCGTGGAGCTCCTTCTCCTTCCATACGGTCTCCCGGTCAGAAATAATAAGCACTGCTGGGTCCTGCCATTGCTCGTTGGCTAAGGATAGAGGGGTAAGCCCTTTATCACTAGAAATGACGTCATTATAGAATGGATCATCCGATCTCGCCAGGAAGTAATTACGGAGGCTGCACACTTCGCGATTATGCATGGTGAGCGCGCTCAAGAAGCCACGCCCACCATGCTTTCGCGGCAAGTACAGCCTCATTACCGACGATCTCGGATGATGCATCCTATGGGACGTCATGGTAGTGCGGACTTTTCTATCCAGGGCGTTAAGTTCAGTCTGGGTCCACCTGAGTATGCCAAAGGTATTATTATTATTGTGTGGGGGGTATCAATATAGTTTTCTCATCTGGTTGGGTTCTATAAATATATAATTATAAATTAAAATGAAAAGATAAATATACATAAATATCAATAAAATAAAATAAATACAAAAAATACACAAATAAATAAAGATCCAACCAGATGGAAGCCCTCGGCAGGGGAGACCAAACGGCCGAGGGTTAGGGGGAAAGGGAAAGAAACCGACGGACGATGCGGGCGGTATCGAGGACCACTGCCTTCTGCATTTGAGCCAGGAGCGGTCCGTCACGGAGTCCCAGTCGCCTCAGATGACCCGAGAGGCTGACTGGGATTAGCCCATTCGCAGAGACGACTACAGGAATAATTTCGGTCGGCCAACCACCCCACATGTCGGTCACCTCGTGAGCCAGGTCCAGATATTTTGTTCGCTTATCTGTTTCGGCTTTCACGAGGTTTTCGTCATACGGAATGGTAATGTCGACCAAAAATATCCTTGACTGTGCCCGGTCCATCAGCACAATATCAGGCTTATTTGCAAGAATAGTCCTGTCTGTGATGATGGCCCGGTCCCAGTAGAGCCTGGCGCGGTCATTTTCGAGCACGGCTTCCGGCAAGTACTTGTAATACGGCAATTTCCGGTCCACGAGACCGTATTTCAGAGCGAGCTCCTGGTGGAGAATTCTGGCTACTAGGTTGTGCCTGTGCAAGTACTCAGAGTTAGAAAGCGCCGAACAACCGGAGATGACATGCCTAAGTGACTCCCCGGGATGGCGACAAGCTCGACAGACGTCGACGGTGCCATCCTTTAGGATATATCTCCGATAGTTGTTGGTCTTAATAACCTGATCCTGTATTGCACAGACAAAACCCTCGGTTTCCCCGAAGAGATCACCGAAGCGTAGCCAGTGGAGGGAGGCTACTGTGTCTACGAAAGGCTCATGTAGAGCCTTGTAGTACCTCCCGTGGAGCTCCTTCTCCTTCCATACAGTCTCACGGTCGGAAATGTTTTGTATTGTTATTACTATTATTATTATTATGTGTGGGGTATCTAAATAGTTTTCTCATCTGGTTGGGATGTATAAATATATAATTATAAACGAAAATGAAAAGATAAACATACAAAAATATCAATAAAATAAAATAAATATGAAAATACATAAATAAATAAAAGCCCAACCAGATGGAAGCCCTCGGCAGGGGAGACCAAACGGCCGAGGGTTAGGGGGAAAGGGAAAGAAACCGGCGGACGATGCGGGCGGTATCGAGGAGCACCGCCTTCTGCATTTGAGCCTGGAGCGGTCCGCCACGTAGTCCCAGCCGCCTCAGATGACCCGAGAGGCTGACTGGGATTAGCCCGTTTGCAGAGACGACTACAGGAATAATTTCGGTCGGCAGACCACCCCACATGTCGGTCACCTCGTGAGCCAGGTCCAGATATTTTGTTTGCTTATCTGTTTCGGCTTTCACGAGGTTCTCGTCACACGGAATGGTAATGTCGACCAAAAATATCCTTGACTGTGCCCGGTCCATCAGCACAATATCAGGCTTATTCGCAAGAATAGTCCTGTCTGTGATGATGGCCCGGTCCCAATAGAGCCTGGCGCGATCATTTTCGAGCACGGCTTCCGGCAAGTACTTGTAATACGGCAACTTCCGATCCACGAAACCGTATTTCAGAGCGAGCTCCTGGTGTAGAATTCTGGCTACTAGGTTGTGCCTGTGCAAGTACTCAGAGTTAGAAAGCGCCGAACAACCGGAGATGACATGCCTAAGTGACTCACCGGGATGGCGACAAGCTCGACAGATGTCGATGGTGCCATCCTTTAGGATGTATCTCCGATAGTTGTTGGTCTTAATAACCTGATCCTGTATTGCACAGACAAAACCCTCGGTTTCCCCGAAGAGGTCACCAAAGCGTAGCCAGTGGAGAGAGGTTACTGTGTCTACGAAAGGCCCATGTAGAGACTTGTAGAACCTCCCGTGGAGCTCCTTCTCCTTCCATACGGTCTCCCGGTCGGAAATTGTCTGCACTGCCGGGTCTTGCCATTGCTCGTTGGCTAAGGATAGAGGGGTAAGTCCTTTATCACAAGAAATGACGTCCTTATAGAATGGATCATCCGATCTCGCCAGGAAGTAATTACGGAGGCTGCACACTTCGCGATTATGCATGGTGAGCGCGCTCAAGAAGCCACGCCCACCATGCTTTCGCGGCAAGTACAGCCTCATTACCGACGATCTCGGATGATGCATCCTGTGGGACGTCATGGTAGTGCGGACTTTTCTATCCAGGGCGTTAAGTTCAGTCTGAGTCCACCTGAGTATGCCAAAGGTATACATGAGGACAGGTATGACCCAGCCGTTATATGCTTGTGTCTTATTCACACCGGACAAAAGGCTGTTAAGCACTTTGGTCAAGCGTGCATAAAACACGTCGCAAACTGACTGTTTCATACCAGCCTCATCGATACCAATGTTCTGTGACATACCCAGGTATCGGTATGTTTCAGCCTCGGAAAGGGTCCTTAAGTTGACGGGCATAGATAAGTCTATGCCCTCAGAGTTAGCAACCCTACCCCTCTCAACATGGAGGACCGCACACTTATCCGTCCCCAGCTCCATTCCAATGGAACTGCTAAATTCACAAGTGATGTTTAGCAGTTCCATAAGATGGGAGCGACTGGAGGCGAATAACTTGAGGTCATCCATATAGAAAAGGTGGGTCACTTTTGTCCCTCCTTTCCGTAGCTGAAATCCCCTCCCGGAGCCCTCCAGTAAGGTACTGAGAGGGTTCAGAGAGAGGCAGAACCATATTGGACTCAAACAATCGCCCTGGAAGATACCCCATCTTATCCTTATGTGGTTCTCCGCAGCCATCATCCGCTCGCCCAGATGACAAAGGATCGTACTCCACTGCCCCATACACTGCTCGAGGAAGTCTCTAACTGTACAGTCTATCTTGTACAGTTCGAGGACTCTCTTTAGCCATGTATGGGGCACCGAGTCGAATGCCTTTCTGTAGTCTATCCAGGCGGCGGAGAAGTTCCGACGGTTGCGTTTCACCACTTTGCCAATGACCGCGTCAATGAGGAGTGGTTCCTTGGTTCCACGACCGCCGCCCCGACATCCATTTTGAGCGCGCGACATCACCTGATTTGAGTCCAGGTGACGAGCGATTCTCGCGCTCAAAATGGATGTTAGTGTCTTATATATGGTCGGTAGACATGTGATGGGGCGGTATTTGCTCGGGTCTGTGGTATTCTGGCCTTTAGGAACCAAATGGGTGATCCCAGTAGTGAAGAGGCTCGGGAGCGACTTCTGGTTGAGAACCTCTTGAAACTGTCGGGCGAGCACAGTGTGACACACCACGAACCCCTTCAGCCAGTAGTGATGCAGCCCGTCGAGTCCCGGACTTTTCCAGTTCGGGGCCCTACGGACCGCCTCAGCTACGTCATCCGGCGTTATGGTGACGGGGTCCATAGGCGTAATACCCGCACACTGACTCGCCACAACTTCCGTCCAAGGGCCCTCGTTGTGGTTTACGGGCTCTGACCACAGGCTGCGCCAGAATGCGACCGTGTCGGCCTGATTCGGTACTGGGCCCGTTCCACTTACCATTGGTCGCTCCAATGATTTATAGAGCCTCTTCTGATCACTCTGGAAGAGACGATTCTGGTTGAACCGTGTCGACCTCTCGGTATATCGCCGAATTCGCTTTCCCCAAGCAGCGATTCTCTGCTTCAGGTCGTCTATGCGCTCCGTCAGTTTTTGCATTATATCCGGCTGGGACAAACTAACATTTGTCCCAGCAAACGCCATCCTGACGGTGCGCACAATCCTTGGCCTGGTATTGCCTGACCTGAAGCATATCAGTCTGCCGATGAGGGCCCTAGCCTTTGCGATACGTTCTTCAATTCTTGTTCTCCAGGCTGGGATAGCACTACTTTGTCCAGTAGTGCGTCCAGCCGTGGAAAGTTTGGCGCCTATAATACGGCAGACTGCCAGTGCGGCGCCAAAGAGAATTGAGTCCGTCTCGCAAAGGTCCCGGCTGGCTTCCAAATAGGTCACCAGCATTGGGTTCAGAGCCCTCACGACAGCCCGATTCCGCTTGCTTAGGGCTATGCGGGGAAGTCGCGGTCGATTTTCGAGAGGCGTACTGCGCGTTTCCATAATCGCCTCTTCCAATGTACACCTCATTTGCTCTATTTCTAGTTCCTGGGTGAATGTTCCATCATCATTTGAATCAGCAACCACTGGGGTATTCTCGGCGGCATCCACGTGTGCGGGTTGTTCTGCAACTTGTGGCACCGCACCCTCAGTCGTAGCGTTTTCATTTGATGAGGGAACAGCCTCACGTCGTAGCCGTTCGAGTTCGGCGCCATCAAATATATTTGAGCGTAAGATATACCGAACTCGGTCTGCCAGGTTTTGCTCGGTGACAGTAATAGATGGCTCCAGCTCAGTAAAAAGACGATGCATCCTAGCCCGATACGCGAAACCTCCAATTTCTCCCCCTTTCGCCCTAAAATACGCCCGCAATGCGTTTGAATTCATATTGATGGTCCATCGCATGCGGCGTACTCCACCAGTGGCGGGTGCCGATTGCTGGGCCTGCGAAGACCCTGCCGACACCAAGCAAGCTGGTGGGGATGATGGATGCGAGGGGCTGCTGGGTGGTCGTGCAGCACCTCGCGCTCGGCTGGCGGTTCGCATGCTGTCGCGTCCAGCGCCAGCTCCAGACGCGCCCTGACGACCTCCAGGCAGCGGCCCTTTGCGCAATCTTCTATGTTCCATCATCCATACAGGGCGTCATTTAACGGGAGACGCCCAGACCCGGCGCCGTTTCATGGTGAGGCCATATGCACAAGCGGGCCCTTGCACCATCAATTTTTGCCGAGGCACGGCGCTCACACCTCTTGGCAAGGTGCTGACTGACTGCGCGGACGTAGCGGTTTTGTCACATAACCGTCACGTCAACGGGCGATGGGGTCGTCACTTCCCTACGCCATTTATTATTATTATTATTATTATTATTATAGTATTATAGACCTTACTATCATAAGTCCCAAATATAGGACTAAACATTGTGCAACAGTACTATAATCCCTTTCATGGATACTATGACTGAGCCGGCGCAAACCGGTTTGTACTCTGACGGAGCGTTGGTGAACCTGAACCTGTCGGTGAGAGCTCACGCACTCATCGCTGCTATATGTATGGGTGTATTCGCAGTGAGCCGTTTGTATGTAGCTTCCCCTCTGGTCGGTTTCTTTACTCATGTGGCGGAGTGGCCTAGCAATGAGTTTAACTCTAAGGACCGCGGGTTCTATTTCCGCACTGAACAAAAATTTGTGTACCTACAAATAATTGTTCCGGGTCTGGATGTTTGTTCTTGTGAAATTTATCTTCTTATGTTAACTGCCCCCACCATATACCTAGGAAACATTCTTATTGTGGAGGTAACGTTATTATAAAACAGAAACAAAAAAAGATATGAGCCGTGATAGCTCAGGGGCGAAGTGCTCGCCGTAAACGCGAGCAACCCGGGTTCGATTCCTGCCGAGTGCCGACACCAATGTAATTGTTATTTTGATGAATTATCTCTATATTATGAAACAGAACAAATGTATATAAAACGAAATCTATTTTATAGAATACATATTTTTCAATTCGAACATATATTACTTACCCATTTCTAGCTGTTACCTTGACGTTGTGACATTCCTTAGTCTACTCAGTAGGGTAAAAAAGAAAAGCCAACTTCAATTTGCTAAAAGAATAAAATAATTTATACATATTAGCTTCCGATATCGTGGCTAAATCGGATATTAATTCTTATATGCTCTGTCTTAGCACCGACCTCAGAAGTAGTGAGGCAATAGATCTCTGCTTCTGCATCCGCAACTACAAAAGTTCTGCACACTTTTTGACATCTGTTTCTGCTTCTGTTTTCGCAACTGGAGTTGTTGGAACTTTGGTGATGGCATACTTTTCCCTAAAGGTGCCAACCTCAAATTGAGAATGAAGTCCAACTTACGTCATAATCAATGATGAATTATTTTACAAAAATTCATCATTGATTATTATTACAAATGTTACAATCCATGTTTCACCAGTAAGAGTGACAATATCTTTTATAGACGTAAACCACCTTCAGGAATGAGCGAAGCTTCTTATACATGAAGAACACCGAATCTGATTTCTGGGTGTAAAAGCGGCAAAACTACTTTTCATAAAATATAATTTACTGCTACTTAATTGTAAATGTTAATTTAAAAAAAATATATTTGTCATTATTTGTACTTTTTACATAGTATTTACACTTCCGTTTCTGCATCCGTTTCCGTTTCTCTTTTTGCTAAAATTTACTTTCGACTTCTGTTTCTGTTTCTGCTTCCATTATGACACTTCCGTTGCATCAGTACTCATAAGCTGTATGTGGAAATTATTTTATTCTTTTAGTTTCAATAGTATCAACATGATTCGTGCTCGATGCCGCCCACTAGTAACCTTGCGCTCGCCCCAACTCGCGCAGTCACGCACACAGAGAGAACATTGTAGTGTACGTCAATATTACGCCGTTTCAGAGCCGTCACTTAGATTTTGACTTGCACGTCCATATTTGAATCACGTCCATATTTGAATATATGCTCTTAATCCCTAGAAGACACAAGATACGCAAAAATGAACATGTTTGTCGTATCTCTTCAATTTCGAGCACTACCTGTGTTGTCTCAGCCAGCATTGGAATTCTCGGCGTTGACATATCGAATGACTTCTTTCAAATCAGTGGCATACTAAGTAGAGCGGGCAGTAATTCATGCCAACACTCCGCTTGCAACTTTACAGGCACAGGTACGATCTCACATGGAATCCTACTGTTCTCATCTCTGGGCCGGGGCACCCCATTACTCATTAGCGCTGCGAAGAGATATTGCCTCCCTTTGCATAATTCTACCACGGGAAGTGCTCAGAGCAATTGTTTGGACTCTTTCCAGCCGCTAAATTTCACCATCGCATATCGCGACAAAACTCGCGAGCCCTACATACTGTGATGGCCCATTATCATTATAAATAATTAATAATTAATTTCTATATAAAGCCTTTAAAAATTATCTTAGAAAAAATACTGCGAAGAGATATTGCCCCCCCTTTGCATAATTCTACCACGGGAAGTGCTCAGAGCAATTGTTTGGACTCTTTCCAGCCGCTAAATTTCACCATCGCATATCGCGACAAAACTCGCGAGCCCTACATACTGTGATGGCCCATTATCATTATAAATAATTAATTTCTATATAAAGCCTTTAAAAATTATCTTAGAAAAAATATAAAAAAATTAAAAAATAAAAATACATTAATAAGCATAAAGTTAAAAAAATACATTTCAAACATTATGTAAGTATTATAGTTAAATTAAAGTTGTCTTTCAAAATCAATAAATTCATTAAAAACTTTGTTAAAATATTCAAAATGTGATAAATACTAGTAATACAAGTCGAAAATTTTATAAAAATAAAGATCAATATCGTTTATAAAATAATTGGAAAATTGGTTAAAAATTTCTTAAGTTATGGAGCGGGTTCGCGTGTAAGAAAATTTCTTAAGTTATGGAGGGTGTTGGTGTATAGATGGCTTGTATGGGGGAGCTGCCGGAGACACATATCAAAGGTCGTACACATATGGGGTGGTCGGGTGACCGACTACTTATAGTACTGTTGCACAATGTTTAGTCCTATATTTGGGACTTATGATAGTCAGGTCTATTATACTATAATAATAATAATAATAATAAATTTGACGAATTGAGACGAATTGAGTCATCTAGAGGTATCGACCTTCAGAGAGGTGGAAAGATCGGCATCAAAAATCTGGGCATCACCCAATCACTTCGAATCAATCACGGTGAAATTAGGTCGAAGATGACTGAAGTATACAATCAAAGGCTTAAAAGAATCCTCAGTTCAGGCCTAAATGGACGTAACCTCACTAAAGCAATTAACACCTTTGCCATATTAACTTACACGTTTGGAGTAGTTAACTGGTCAGATACTAAACTGGCAAAAATTGAGAGGTCTACTCGCGTCATGCATGCTAAATATCATATACATCACCCAAAATCAGCCGTTGAGCGGGTAACTCTATCTCGAGCCAATGACGGTAGAGGACTGATAGATATTCGTAGACTGTGTGCTAAACAGATTCGGAGTCTTCGAAGTTATTTCCTTTCGCAAACGTCCTCTCCCCTGCATCAAGCAGTAATAAAGGCTGATGACCGTCTAACAACGCTCGATCTCCTTCATGCCGACAATTTCCCACCGTTAGAGACTGACGCTGAATACAAAGTAGCCAAACTCCAGCAATGGGCCTCAAAACCTCTTCACGGTCGATTCGCTAATGAACTGAGTCAACCACATGTCGACATTGAAGCGTCGAACAACTGGCTCAGACATGGTGAGATCTTTGCTGAAACTGAGGGATTCATGGTGGCGATTCAGGATCAGGTTGTGCCTACGAAAAATTATCTTAAGTACATTGTCAAGACAGGTATCGAAGATGACCAGTGCCGACGGTGTCATCAAAAGCCAGAGACCATCCAGTACATAACTGGCGGCTGCCAGGCTCTTGCTGGAACCGAGTACACCCAGCGCCATGACAACGTGGCAAAAATTGTGCACCAAGAGCAGGCAGTAAAATACGGTCTCCTTAAGGAGACAGAACCCTACTGGAAATACAATCCATCCCCGGTACTCGAGAATGATTCTGCCCAACTTTATTGGGATAGGTCAGTTTTAACTGACCGGACCATTGAGCATAATCGACCGGACATAATATTAGTAGAAAAGGAGGAGAAGCGGACGTGGTTGTTGGATATTGGCATTCCATACTCGCATAATGTGCAGAAGTACAGCACTGAAAAGTTGACTAAGTACCAGCGGTTAGCTGAAGAAATCCGACAGTTAAGGCGACAGCAGCAGGTACTTATCGTCTCGCTGATTTTCTCTACCACGGGAGTTGTTCCTAAATCCCTTACTGACAATTTAGCTAAGCTGGGCATTTCAGTGAGGGTGAGGAACAAAATTCAAAAAGCCGTAATTTTGGATACGACAGCGATAGTACGTCGCCACCTCACAATTTAAACAAAAGAGCGGCATCTTGCGATCAGCCGATGCCGCATCTTAAAACCCTAAAAGGAGCGTTAATGGATAACCCATAATATAATAAATAATAATAAAAAGGCGTAGGGAAGTGACGACCCCATCGCCCGCTGACGTAACGGTTATGTGATAAAACCGCTACGTCAGCGCAGTCAGTCAGCACCTTGGTGTGGTGGTTAGGTGTTAGTGCCGTGCCTCGGCAAAAATTGAAGGTGCAAAGGCCCGTTTGTGCACATGGCCTCACCATGAAACGGCGCCGGGTCTGGACGTCTCCCGCTAAATGACGCCCTAAAAATGGATGATGGAATTAAATAGAACGTGCAAAGGGCCGCTGCCTGGAGGTCGCCAGGGCGCGTCTGGAGCGAACCGCAAGCCGAGCGCGAGGTGCTGCACGACCACCCAGCAGCCCCTCGCATCCATCATCCCCACCAGCTGGCTTGGTGTCGGCAGGGTCTTCGCGGGCCCAGCAATCGGCACCCGCCTTTGGTGGAGTACGCCGCATGCGTTGGACAACCCAGATGAACAGCAACGCATTGCGGGCGTATTTTAGGGCGAAAGGGGGAGAAACTGGAGGTTTTGCGTATCGGGCAAGGATGCATCGACTTTTTGCTGAGCTGGAGCCATCTGTAACCGTCACCGAGCAAAACCTGGCAGACTGAGTTCGGTATATCTTGCGCTCAAATACATTTGATGTTACCGAACTCGAACGGCTACGACGTGAGGCTGTTCCTTCATCGGGTGAAAATGCTGCGGCTGAGGATGCGGCGCCACAATTTGCTGAGCAAACGGCAAATGTAGATGCCGCCGTGAACACGCCAGTTGAGGTTGATACAGACAATGATGGAACAGTCGCCCAGGAACTGGAACTAGAGCAAATGAGGAGTACATTGGAAGAGGCGATTGTGGAAACGCCCAGTACGCCTCTCGAAAATCGACCGCGACTTCCCCGCTTAGCCCTAAGCAAGCGGAATCGGGCCGTCGTGAGGGCTCTGAACCCAGTGCTGGTTACCTATTTGGAAGCCAGCAAGGACCTTTGCGAGACGGAATCAATTCTTTTTGGCGCCGCACTGGCAGTCTGCCGTATTATAGGCGCCAAACTTTCCACGGCTGGACGCGCTACTGGACAAAGTAGTGCTATCCCAGCCTGGAGAATAAGAATTGAAGAACGTATCGCAAAGGCTAGGGCCCTCATCGGCAGACTGATATGCTTCAGGTCAGGCAACACCAGGCCAAAGATTGTGCACACCGTCAGGATGGCGTTTGCTGGGACAAATGTTAGTTTGTCCCAGCCGGATATAATGCAAAAACTGACGGAGCGCATAGAAGACCTGAAGCAAAGAATCGCTGCTTGGTGAAAGCGGATTCGGCGATATACCGAGAGGTCGATACGGTTCAACCAGAATCGTCTCTTCCAGAGTGATCAGAAGAGGCTCTATAAATCATTGGAGCGACCAATAGTAAGTGGAACTGGCCCAGCACCAAATCAGGCCGACACGGTCGCATTCTGGCGCAGCCTGTGGTCAGACCCCGTAAACCACAACGAGGGCCCTTGGACGGAAGTTGTGGCGAGGCAGTGTGCGGGTATTACGCCCATGAATCCCGTCATCATAACGCCGGATGACGTAGCTGAGGCGGTCCGTAGGGCCCCGAACTGGAAAAGTCCGGGGCTTGACGGGCTGCATCACTACTGGCTGAAGGGGTTCATGGTGTGTCACGCTGTGCTCGCCAGACAGTTTCAGGAGGCTGTCAACCAGAAGTCACTCCCAAGCCTCTTCACTACTGGGATCACTCATTTGGTTCCTAAAGATCAGGATGCCACAGACCCGAGCAAATACCGCCCCATCACGTGTCTACCGACCATATACAAGACACTAACATCCATTTTGAGCGCGAGAATCGCTCGTCACCTGGACTCTAATCGGATGATGTCGCGCGCTCAAAATGGATGTCGGGGCGGCGCTCGTGGAACCAAGGAACCACTCCTCATTGACGCGGTCATTGGCAAAGTGGTGAAACGCAACCGTCGGAACTTCTCCGCCGCCTGGATAGATTACAGAAAGGCATGTGACTCGGAGCCCCATATACGGCTAAAGAGGGTCCTCGAGCTGTACAAGATTGACTGTACAGTTCGAAACTTCCTCGAGCGGTGTATGGGGCAGTGGAGTACGATCCTCTGTCATCTAGGCGAGCGGATGACGGCTGCGGAAAGCCGCATAAGGATAAGAAGGGGTATATTCCAGGGCGACTGTCTGAGTCCAGTCTGGTTCTGCCTCTCTTTGAACCCTCTCAGTACTTTACTGGAGGGCTCCGGGACGGGATTTCAGCTTCGGAAAGGAGGTGCAAAAGTAACCCACCTTTTCTATATGGATGAACTCAAGTTATTCGCCTCCAGTCGCTCCCATCTTATGGTATTGCTAAACATCACTTGTGAATTTAGCAATTCTATTAGTATGGAGCTGGGGACGGATAAGTGTGCGGTCCTCCATGTTGAAAGGGGAGGGTTGCTAACTCTGAGGGCATAGACTTATCTATGCCCGTCAACTTAAGGACCCTTTCCGAGGCTGAAACATATCGATACCTGGGTATGTCACAGAACATCGGTATCGATGAGGCTGGTATGAAACAGTCAGTTTGCGACGTGTTTTATGCACGCTTGACAAAAGTGCTTAACAGCCTTTTGTCCGGTGTGAATAAGACACACGCATATAACAGTTGGGTCGTGCCTGTCCTCATGTATACCTTTGGCATACTCAGGTGGACCCAGACTGAACTTAACGCCCTGGATAGAAAAGTCCGCACTACCATGACGTCCCATAGGATGCATCATCCGAGATCGTCGGTAATGAGGCTGTACTTGCCGCGAAAGCATGGTGGACGTGGTTTTCTGAGCGCGCTCACCATGCATAATCGCAAAGTGTGCAGCCTCCGTGATTACTTCCTGGCGAGATCGGATGATCCATTCTATAATGACGTCATTTCTAGTGATAAAGGGCTTACCCCTCTATCCTTAGCCAACGAGCAATGGCAGGACCCAGCAGTGCTTAGCAATTCCGACCGGGAGACCGTATGGAAGGAGAAGGATCTCCACGGGAGGTACTACAAGACTCTACATGAGCCCTTCGTAGATACAGTTGCTCAACTGGATACGTTTCGGTGATCTCTTCGGGGGAAACCGAGGGTTTTGTCTGTGCAATACAGGATCAGGTTATTAAGACCAACAACTATCGGAGATACATCCTAAAGGATGGCACCGTCGACGTCTGTCGAGCTTGTCGCCATCCCGGGGAGTCACTTAGGCATGTCATCTCCGGTTGTTCGGCGCTTTCTAACTCTGAGTACTTGCACAGGCACAACCTAGTAGCCAGAATTCTACACCAGGAGCTCGCTCTGAAATACGGTCTCGTGGACCGGAAATTGCCGTATTACAAGTACTTGCCGGAAGCCGTGCTCGAAAATGACCGCGCCAGGCTCTACTGGGACCGGGCCATCATCACACACAGGACTATTCTTGCGAATAAGCCTGATATTGTGCTGATGGACCGGGCACAGTCAAGGATATTTTTGGTCGATATTACCATCCCGTATGACGAGAACCTCGTGAGAGCCGAAACAGATAAGCAATCAAAATATCTGGACCTGGCTCACGACGTGACCGATATGTGGGGTGGTCTGCCGGTCGAAATTATTCCTGTAGTCGTCTCTGCGAATGGGCTAATCCCAGTTAGCCTCTCTGGTCATCTGAGGCGACTGGGACTCCGTGACGGACCGCTCCGGGCTCAAATGCAGAAGGCGGTGCTCCTTGATACTGCCCGCATCGTCCGCCGGTTTCTTTCCCTTTCTCCCTAACCCTTGGCCGTTTGGTCTCCCCCTGCCGAGGGCTTCCATCTGGTTGGGCTTTTATTTATTTATGTATTTTTGTATTTATTTTATTTTATTGATATTTATGTATATTTATCCTTTCATTTTCATTTATAATTATATATTTATACATCCCAACCAGATGAGAAAACTATATAGATACCCCACAAATAATAATATGGCGTAGGGAATTAACGATCCCATCGCCCGCTGACGTAACAGTTAAGTGATAAAACTGCTACGTCAACGCAGTCAGTCAGCGCCTTGCGAGAGGTGTTAGTGCCGTGCCTCGGCAGAATTCAGGGTGCAAAGGCCCGTTTGTGCTTATGGCCGTCCACGATACGGTGCCGGGCCTGGGCGTCTCCCGTTAATGGACGCCCATATTATGGATGATGGAAAAAAATATAGTGCGCAAAGGGCCACTGCCTGGAGGTCGCCAGGGCGCGTCTGGAGCTGGCGCTGGACGCGACAGCATGCGGGCCGCCAGCCGAGCGCGGGGTGTTGCAAGACCACTTAGCAGCCCCCCGCATCCATCATCCCCACCAGAAGGCTTGGTGTCGGCTGGGTCTTCTCGGACTCAGCAAGCGGCACCCGCCGCTGGTGGAGCACGTCGCATGCGTTGGTCTAAATCAATGAATGAAAACGCACTGCGGGCGTATTTTAGGGCAAAAGGGGAAGAAACTGGATGTTTGGCGTATCGGGCTCGGATGCATCGCTTTTTAGCAGAGCTGGAGCCATCTCTATCCGTCACTGAGCAAAACCTGGCAGACCGAGTTAGGTACATCCTGCGCTCCAACATATTTGGTGACGCCGAACTCGAGCGACTACGACGTGAGGCTATTCCTTCATCGAATGGAAATGCTACGCCTGGGAATGCGGCGCCACTAGATGCGCAACAAACTGCATATGTGGATGCTGTCGTCAACATTCCATTTGTGGCTAATTCAGACGATGATGGAATAGTCACCCACGAACTAGAGAAAATGAGGAGCATATTGGAAGAGTCGATGCTGGAAACGCGCAGCATGCCTCTCGAAAATCGACCGCGACTTCCCCGCATACCCCTTAGCAAGCGAAATCGGGCTGTCGGGCGGGCTCTTAACCCAATGCTGGTGACCTATTTGGAAGCCAGCCGGGACCTTTGCGAGACGGATTCAATTCTTTTTGGCGCCGCACTGGCAGAATGCCGTATTATTGGCGCCAAACTTCCCGTAGCTGGACGTGCTACTCAAAAAAGTAGCGCCATCCTAGCCTGGAGAAAAAGAATTGAGGACCGTATCGAAAAGGCAAGGGCCCTTATCGGCAGACTGACAAGCTTCAGGTCGGGTAATAATAGACCGAGGATTATGCGTACCGTTAGGATGGCGTTTGCTGGGACATATATCAGTTTGTTCCAACCGGATATCACGCAAAAACTAACGGAGCGCATAGATGACCTGAAGCAAAAAATCGCTGTTTGGGGGAAGTGGATTCGACGATTTAGCGAGAGGTCAAGGCGGTTCAACCAGAATCGTCTCTTCCAGAGTGATCAGAAGAGGCTCTATAAATCATTGAAGCGACCAGAGGTATGTGGAGCGGGCCCAGGACTGGATCAGGCCGACACTGTCGCATTTTGGCGTGGCCTGTGGTCAGAGCCCGTAAACCACAGCGAGGGCCCTTGGATGGAAGTTGTGGCGAGCCAGAGTGCAAGTGTTACGCCTATGGACCCTGTCACCATAAAGCCTAAAGACGTGGCTGAGGCGGTCCGTAGGGCCCCGAACTGGAAAAGTCCGGGGCTCGACGGGCTGCATCATTACTGGCTGAAGGGGTTCGTAGTGTGTCACGCCGTGCTCGCCCGACAGTTTCAAGAGGCTCTCGATCAGAAGTCGCTCCCGAGCCTCTTCACTACTGGGATCACTCATTTGGTTCCTAAAGATCAGGATACCACAGACCCGAGCAAATACCGCCCCATCACGTGTCTACAGACACTGACATCCATTTTGAGCGCGAGAATCACTCGTCACCTGGAGCTAAATCAGGTGATGTCACGCGCTCAAAATGGATGCCGGGGCGGTGGTCGTGGAACCAAGGAACCACTCCTCATTGACGCGGTCATTGGCAAAGTGGTGAAACGCAACCGTCGGAATTTCTCCGCCGCCTGGATATACTACACAAAGGCATTCGACTCGGTGCACCATACATGGCTGAAGAGAGTCCTCCAGCTGTACAAAATTGACTGTACAGTTGGAGACTACTTACTACGTACCACTACTACTTCCTCGAGCAGTGTATGGGGCAATGGAGTACGATCCTTTGCTATCTGGGTGAGCGGATGATGGCTGCGGAGAACCACATAAGGATAAGAAGGGGTATCTTCCAGGGTGATTGTCTGAGCCAATCTGGTTTTGCCTCTCCCTGAACCCTCTCAGTACTTTACTGGAGGGCTCCGGGAGGGGATTTCAGCTTCGGAAAGGAGGTACAAAAGTGACCCACCCTTTCTATATGGATGACCTCAAGTTATTCGCCTCCAGTCGCTCCCATCTTATGGAATTGCTAAACATCACTTGTGAATTTAGCAGTTCTATTGGAATGGAGCTGGGAACGGATAAGTGTGCGGTCCTCCATGTTGAAAGGGGAAGGGTTGCTAACTCTGAGGGCATAGACTTATCTATGCCCGTCAACTTAAGGACCCTTTCCGAGGCTGAAACATACCGATACCTGGGTATGTCACAGAACATCGGTATCGATGAGGCTGGTATGAAACAGTCAGTTTGCGACGTGTTTTATTCACGCTTGACCAAAGTGCTTAACATCCTTTTGTCCGGTGTGAATAAGACACACGCATATAACAGTTTGGTCGTGCCTGTCCTCATGTATACCTTTGGCATACTCAGGTGGACCCAGACTGAACTTAACGCCCTGGATAGAAAAGTCCACACTACCATGACGTCCCATAGGATGCATCATCCGAGATCGTCGGTAATGAGGCTGTACTTGCCGCGAAAGCATGATGGGCGTGGCTTTCTGAGCGCGCTCACTATGCATAATCGTGAAGTGTGCAGCCTCCGTCATTACTTCCTGGCGAGATCGGATGATCCATTCTATAATGACGTCATTTCTAGTGATAAAGGGCTTACCCCTCTATCCTTGGCCAACGAGCAATGGCAGGACCCAGCAGTGCTTAGCATTTTCGACCGGGAGACCGTATGGAAGGAGAAGGAGCTCCACGGGAGGTACTACAGGGCTCTACATGAGCCCTTCGTAGATACAGTCGCCTCCCTCAACTGGCTACGTTTCGGTGACCTCTTCGGGGGAAACCTAGGGTTTTGTCTGTGCAATACAGGATCAGGTTATTAAGGCTAACAACTATCGGAGATACATCCTAAAGAATGGCACCGTCGACGTCTGTCGAGCTTGTCGCCATCCCGGGGAGTCACTTAGGCATGTCATCTCCGGTTGTTCGGCGCTTTCTAACTCTGAGTACTTGCACAGGCACAACCTAGTAGCCAGAATTCTACACCAGGAGCTCGCTCTGAAATACGGTCTCGTGGACCGGAAATTGCCGTATTACAAGTACTTGCCGGAAGCCGTGCTCGAAAATGACCGCGCCAGGCTCTACTGGGACCGGGCCATCATCACAGACAGGATTATTCTTGCAAATAAGCCTGATATTGTGCTGATGGACCGGGCACAGTCAAGGATATTTTTGGTCGACATTACCATTCCATATGACGAGAACCTCGTGAAAGCCGAAACAGATAAGCGAACAAAATATCTGGACCTGGCTCACGAGGTGACCGACATGTGGGGTGGTTGGCCGACCGAAATTATTCCTGTAGTCGTCTCTCCGAATGGGCTAATCCCAGTCAGCCTCTCGGGTAATCTGAGGCGACTGGGACTCCGTGACGGACCGCTCCGGGCTCAAATGCAGAAGGCAGTGGTCCTCGATACCGCCCGCATCGTCCGTCGGTTTCTTTCCCTTTCCCCCTAACACTCGGCCGTTTAGTCTCCCCTGCCGAGGGCTTCCATCTGGTTGGATCTTTATTTATTTGTGTATTTTTTGTATTTATTTTATTTTATTGACATTTATGTATATTTATTCTTTCATTTTAATTTATAATTATATATTTATAGAAACCATACAGATGAGAAAACTATACAGATACCCCAAAAAATAATAATAGTAATATCTATATATTAACAATAATAATAATATCTGCAATAATAATAATATCATGTGGACCCAGACTGAACTTAACGCCCTGGATAGAAAAGTCCGCACTACCATGACGTCCCATAGGATGCATCATCCGAGATCGTCGGTAATGAGGCTGTACTTGCCGCGAAAGCATGGTGGATGTGGTTTTCTGAGCGCGCTCACCATGCATAATCGCGGAGTGTGCAGCTTCCGTGATTACTTCCTGGCGAGATCGGATGATCCATTCTATAATGACGTCATTTCTAGTGATAAAGGACTTACCCCTCTATCCTTAGCCAACGAGCAATGGCAGGACCCAGCAGTGCTTAGCATTTCTGACCGGGAGACCGTATGGAAGGAGAAGGAGCTCCACGGGAGGTTCTACAAGGTTCTACATGAGCCTTTCGTAGACACAGTAGCCTCCCTCCACTGGCTACGATTTGGTGATCTCTTCGGGGAAACCGAGGGTTTTGTCTGTGCAATACAGGATCAGGTTATTAAGACCAACAACTATCGGAGATACATCCTAAAGGATGGCACCGTGGACTTCTGTCGAGCTTGTCGCCATCCCGGTGAGTCACTTAGGCATGTCATCTCCGGTTGTTCGGCGCTTTCTAACTCTGAGTACTTGCACAGGCACAACCTAGTAGCCAGAATTCTTCACCAGGAGCTCGCTCTGAAATACGGTCTCGTGGATCGGAAATTGCCGTATTACAAGCCTCGGCCGTTTGGTCTCCCCTGCCGAGGGCCTCCATCTGGTTGTGCTTTTATTTATTTATGTATTTTTATATTTATTTTATGTTATTGATATTTATGTATATTTATCTTTTCATTTTCATTTATAATTATATATTTATAGAACCCAACCAGATGAGAAAACTATATAGATACCCAAAATAATAATAATAATATGGCGTAGGGAATTGACGACCCCATCGCCCGCTGACGTAACAGTTAAGTGACAAAACTGCTTCGTCAACGCTGTCAGTCAGCCCCTTGCGAGAGGTGTGAGCGCCGTGCCTCGGCAGAATTCAGGGTGCAAAGGCCCGTTTGTGCTTATGGCCGTCCACGATACGGTGCCGGGCCTGGGCGTCTCCCGTTAATGGACGCCCATATTATGGATGATGGAGAAAAAAAAGTGCGCAAAGGCCCGCTGCCTGGAGGTCGCCAGGGCGCGTCTGGAGCTGGCGCTGGACGCGACAGCATGCGGGCCGCCAGCCGAGCGCGGGGTGTTGCAAGACCACCTAGCAGCCCCCCGCATCCATCATCCCCACCAGAAGGCTTGGTGTCGGCTGGGTCTTCTCGGACTCAGCAAGCGGCACCCGCCGCTGGTGGAGCACGTCGCATGCGTTGGTCTAAATCAATGAATGAAAACGCACTGCGGGCGTATTTTAGGGCAAAAGGGGAAGAAACTGGATGTTTGGCGTATCGGGCTCGGATGCATCGCTTTTTTGCAGAGCTGGAGTCTATCTGTCACTATCAGTCACTGAGCAAAACCTGGCAGACCGAGTTAGGTACATCCTGCGCTCCAACATATTTGGTGACGCCGAACTCGAGCGACTATGACGTGAGGCTATTCCTTCATCGAATGGAAATGCTACGGCTGGGAATGCGGCGCCACTACATGCGCAACAAACTGCATATGTGGATGCTGCCGTCAACATTCCATTTGTGGCTAATTCAGACGATGATGGAATAGTCTCCCACGAACTAGAGAAAATGAGGAGCATATTGGAAGAGTCGACGCTGGAAACGCGCAGCATGCCTCTCGAAAATCGACCGCGACTTCCCCCGCATACCCCTTAGCAAGCGAAATCGGGCTGTCGTGCGGGCTCTTAACCCAATGCTGGTGACCTATTTGGAAGCCAGCCGGGACCTTTGCGAGACGGATTCAATTCTTTTTGGCGCCGCACTGGCAGTATGCCGTATTATTGGCGCCAAACTTCCCGTGGCTGGACGTGCTACTCAAAAAAGTAGCGCCATCCCAGCCTGGAGAAAAAGAATTGAGGACCGTATCGAAAAGGCAAGGGCCCTTATCGGCAGACTGACAAGCTTCAGGTCGGGTAATAATAGACCGAGGATTATGCGTACCGTTAGGATGGCGTTTGCTGGGACAAATATCAGTTTGTTCCAACCGGATATCACGCAAAAACTAACGGAGCGCATAGATGACCTGAAGCAAAAAATCGCTGTTTGGGGGAAGTGGATTCGACGATTTAGCGAGAGGTCAAGGCGGTTCAACCAGAATCGTCTCTTCCAGAGTGATCAGAAGAGGCTCTATAAATCATTGGAGCGACCAGAGGTATGTGGAGCGGGCCCAGGACCGGATCAGGCTGAGACTGTCGCATTTTGGCGTGGCCTGTGGTCAGAGCCCGTAAACCACAGCGATGGCCCTTGGATGGAAGTTGTGGCGAGCCAGAGTGCAAGTGTTACGCCTATGGACCCCGTCACCATAACGCCTGAAGACGTGGCTGAGGCGGTCCGTAGGGCCCCGAACTGGAAAAGTCCGGGGCTCGACGGGCTGCATCATTACTGGCTGAAGGGGTTCGTAGTGTGTCACGCTGTGCTCGCCCGACAGTTTCAAGAGGCTCTCGATCAGAAGTCGCTCCCGAGCCTCTTCACTACTGGGATCACTCATTTGGTTCCTAAAGATCAGGATACCACAGACCCGAGCAAATACCGCCCCATCACGTGTCTACCCACCATATATAAGACACTGACATCCATTTTGAGCGCGAGAATCACTCGTCACCTGGAGCTAAATCAGGTGATGTCACGCGCTCAAAATGGATGCCGGGGCGGTGGTCGTGGAACCAAGGAACCACTCCTCATTGACGCGGTCATTGGCAAAGTGGTGAAACGCAACCGTTGGAATTTCTCCGCCGCCTGGATAGATACAGAAAGGCATTCGACTCGATGCCCCATACATGGCTAAAGAGAGTCCTCCAGCTGTACAAAATTGACTGTACAGTTGGAGACTTCCTCGAGCAGTGTATGGGGCAATGGAGTACGATCCTTTGCTATCTGGGCGAGCGGATGATGGCTGCGGAGAACCACATAAGGATAAGAAGGGGTATACTCCAGGGCGATTGTCTAAGTCCAATCTGGTTCTGCCTCTCCCTGAACCCTCTCAGTACTTTACTGGAGGGCTCCGGGAGGGGATTTCAGCTTCGGAAAGGAGGTACAAAAGTGACCCACCCTTTCTATATGGATGACCTCAAGTTATTCGCCTCCAGTCGCTCCCATCTTATGGAATTGCTAAACATCACTTGTGAATTTAGCAGTTCTATTGGAATGGAGCTGGGAACGGATAAGTGTGCGGTCCTCCATGTTGAAAGGGGGAGGGTTGCTAACTCTGAGGGCATAGACTTATCTATGCCCGTCAACTTAAGGACCCTTTCCGAGGCTGAAACATACCGATACCTGGGTATGTCACAGAACATCGGTATCGATGAGGCTGGTATGAAACAGTCAGTTTTCGACGTGTTTTATTCACGCTTGACCAAAGTGCTTAACAGCCTTTTGTCCGGTGTGAATAAGACACACGCATATAACGGCTGGGTCATGCCTGTCCTCATGTATACCTTTGGCATACTCAGGTGGACTCAGACTGAACTTAACGCCCTGGATAGAAAAGTCCGCACTACCATGACGTCCCACAGGATGCATCATCCGAGATCGTCGGTAATGAGGCTGTACTTGCCGCGAAAGCATGGTGGGCGTGGCTTCTTGAGCGCGCTCACCATGCATAATCGCGAAGTATGCAGCCTCCGTAATTACTTCCTGGCGAGATCGGATGATTCATTCTATAAGAACGTCATTTCTAGTGATAAAGGACTTACCCCTCTATCCTTAGCCAACGAGCAATGGCAAGACCCGACCGGGAGAACGTATGGAAGGAGAAGGAGCTCCACGGGATGTTCTACAAGGCTCTACATGAGCCTTTCGTAGACACAATAGCCTCCCTCCACTGGCTACGCTTTGGTGATCTCTTCGGGGAAACCGAGGGTTTTGTCTGAGCAATACAGGATCAGGTTATTAAGACCAACAACTATCGGAGATACATCCTAAAGGATGGCACCGTGGACATCTGTCGAGCTTGTCGCCATCCCGGTGAGTCACTTAGGCATGTCATCTCCGGTTGTTCGGCGCTTTCTAACTCTGAGTACTTGCACGGGCACAACCTAGTAGCCAGAATTCTTCACCAGGAGCTCGTTCTGAAATACGGTCTCATGGATCGGAAGTTGCCGTATTACAAGTACTTGCCGGAAGCCGTGCTCGAAAATGATCGCGCCAGGCTCTATTCGGACCGGGCCATCATCACAGACAGGACTATTCTTGCGAATAAGCCTGATATTGTTCTGATGGACCGCGCACAGTCAAGGATATTTTTGGTCGACATTACCATTCCGTATGACGAGAACCTCGTGAAAGCCGACAGCAAGCAAACAAAATATCTGGACCTGGCTCACGAGGTGACTGACATGTGGGGTGGTCTGCCGACCGAAATTATTCCTGTAGTCGTCTCTGCAAACGGGCTAATCCCAGTCAGCCTCTCGGGTCATCTGAGGCGATTGGGACTACGTGACGGACCGCTCCGGGCTCAAATGCAGAAGGTGGTGCTCCTCGATACCGCCCGCATCGTCCGCCGGTTTCTTTCCCTTTCCCCCTAACCCTCGGCCGTTTGGTCTCCCCTGCCGAGGGCCTCCATCTGGTTGGGCTTTTATTTATTTATGTATTTTTATATTTATTTTATATTATTGATATTTATGTATATTTATCTTTTCATTTTCATTTATAATTATATATTTATAGAACCCAACCAGATGAGAAAACTATATAGATACTCCATAATAATAAAAATAATCTTATTTATTTATGCAGTTTTTGTATTTATTTTATTTTATTGATATTTATGTACATTTATCTTTTCATTTTAATTTATTATTATATATTTATAGAACCCAACCATGTAAGAAAATTATATAGATACCCCAATAATAATAATAATAAGCCCCCCTAAACAACCACACTTCCTGATTGACCACCTAATCACGTGGGGGGCGGTCACACGAATGAGAAATTACTGGCATTGCTAACATGGCTCTGGAAACCCATAAATAAAATGGAGACTCGTTCTAAAATTAAACGTATAGGGCCGCTGCCCGAGGGCGATCGCCGGGGTGCTCCTGGAGCTGACGCTGGGTGTTACAGCATGCGATCCGTCAGCGGTGAGGAGTTGAACAGGCGGGCTCCCACCCACAAAGATACTACAGCCGAACTCATTGACGATGGTGACAGACTGACGGACAGGACAGACACCCCTGTAGAACCATATAGTCCAAGCACAGTATCATACACACCCTCGAGACCAACATCACCACCACCATCATACCATCGTCACCAACACCTCCATCACCCCTTATTACTAGTTTAAATACAGTTCCAACTACTCCGACCTTGAGTGCTGCGCGGGAGGTATCTACCTTCTTACCCGCGTCCACCAAGGCTGGAGAAGCAAGAGTTCGAATGAAATGGAGTAAAGAAGTAAATCTATTTATCATGAGAACTTATCTATACATTACTAAATTAGAGACCGATATGACCACGTACAGACAATAATTACACGCACATTTCACTCGACAATATCCAGAAATTACTGTTTCAGAACAAAGAATCTCAGACCAAAGAAGAACCATAGTTAGGAATAAACGAAGTTATAGATCAATTAAAAGAAGAAGTACGAACACAATTAATTCAAGAAGAAGCGACTAACAACTATGTAGAAACTAATATCACACAAAACACAAGTGAAAATGATCGTCAAGTACAACCACAATTACTCAGTCAATCACATCTCATTTATACACAATCTCAGCAATGCGACCATTCTCAAATCTGCACACAAATATCACACACATCCACACAAACTGAAACCGTAATTCTAACGCTAGAAAATGACATTGAGACCATATTTGTCCCAGATCAATACTTAACGACAGATACATTTATTCAAGAAATCAATGAGAAATTTAGAACAACAATAACGTTATACTCTGGGATGGATCCCGCAGCACGACCAAGATTACCCAAACTTAAGTACACACCTAACCTGTTTCGATGAAACTATACTCACACAATATATATCTGATGACACACAAATTATAGACATACATTTACTTATATACTGCACAGCGGTAGTAATATCCGAAGAATTGAACTTTAAAATCACGGACAATGCAAGAACTACAAGAACAAGACAAAATAAAGAACCAGCATGGCAACAGAGACTAGAAAAAGACATTGAAAAATTAGGAGCAAACATAGGTAGACTCACTCAGTATATTAACGGTTGTAGATCTAACAAACTAGTCAAAAAAGTAGAGGTCATATTTAGGAATAATGCTACGAATACCAGACACGAAAAAAGTAACACAAGACCTGAAGAATTTTTAGACACGTTAAAACAAAAGTTAACACTTAAAGTTCATAGGCTCAAAAGGTATAAAAACGCACAACAGCGCAAAAAAGATAACATCACATTTGCCACAAACGAAAAATTGTTTTATAGAAACTTAAACAAACCACAAACAGACACAATTGATGAACGTAACATACATACCTACAAAAGAACAACTAGAAGCATATTGGGCGAGTATTTGGGAAGAGCAAAAACAACATAACGACAAAGCATCTTGGATAAGTGAAGAGGAAGCAAAATGGAGAGATATTGACGAAATGGTATTCGAAGAGGTAACGGAGTCAGACATAACACTCGTTACAAAGAGCTTACATAATTGGAAATCACCTGGTATAGACAAAATTCATAATTTTTGGTACAAAAAATTAACATCTCTACACAAACCTTTAGCAAGAAGTTTAACAGATATAATAACAGGACAACAGAACACTCCCGAATTTATTGCAACAGGAATTACTTATATGCTACCTAAAACAATAAATTCACCTCAGCCTTCCCAATACCGACCAATTACATGCCTACCCACAATTTACAAAATATTGACATCTGCAATCATAAAGAAAATTCAGTCGCACATTAACACCACAATATAATAGCAGAAGAACAGAAGGGATGTAGACAGGGCCACATGGGATGTAAAGAACAGCTGATAATTGATTCCACTATTCATAAACACGCCACCTCTAAAAATAGAAATTTACATTGCACCTATATTGATTATAAAAAAGCGTTTTCATTCATGGTTATTAAAAATATTAGAAATTTATAGAATAAATCCGAAAATAATCGATTTCTTACGCCGAATAATGTTACAATGAAAAACAACACTACAAATAAATTGTAACCAAAATACTGTCACCACGCGACAAATCTCAATCACAAAAGGCATCTACCAAGATGACTCCCTGAGCCCACTGTGGTTCTGTCTCGCCCTAAACCCTCTGTCTCATTTGCTGCAGAGCTGCGGGGCCGGATATTGCCTCAAACTTAATACAGACGAAACAACAATATCGCATCTTATATACATTGACGACATCAAATTATATGCAAAAACAGACAAGGATATAAAGAAATTAATAGATATAACAACAGAATTCAGTAGCAATATTAATATGCATTTTGGTTTAGATAAATGTAAAACACTTCACATTGTAAGAGGCAAAGTAAGGCCCGGCGACTATGTAGTAAATGTAACGGAGGCTATACAAATATTTAGGGTATGTCCAACTTAAAAGTCTTGACCACGTACGAATTAAAAATTCTCTCACTACGGAATACAAGAGAAGACTTAACGCTGTTTGTAAAACTCAACTTTCAAGTAAACATCTCATCAAAGCCATTAACACCTATGCCATCTCCATATTAACGTACTCATTCGGAGTTATAAAATGGTCCAAAACTGACGCAGAACAATTAGAGCGAACTACACGTACAACACTCACGAAACACAACAACCTACACCCTAAATCCGCCATAGAGAGACTAACATTAAAACGAGAACATGGAGGGAGAGGCCTAATAGATATCCAGCACCTATGGCGGAAACAAGTTAGTCGATTAAAATCATTCTTCTATACAAAATCCCATACTAGCAATATTCATAAAGCCATCGTAACGAATGATATTAACTACACTCCACTTAACTTAAGCAATCAGATTGAACCAAAAAACACTACCAGTGATAACCCACAGACACACAAAATTGACGAATGGAAGAAGAAAGTTCTCCACGGTCGGCACCCACATGACTTAGAGCAATCCCACATAAATAAGTTAGCTTCAAATAAGTGGCTGAAAATAGGCAATTTATTCCCAGAAATAGAAGGATTTATAATAGCTATTCAAGACCAGATCATAAACACAAAAAATTACAGAAAATATATAATCAAAGATCCTAAAGTAAATAATGACAAATGTCGCAAATGCCACACACATCCAGAAACCATTCAACACATCACAGGCGCATGCACAACTCCCACACAGACTGACTACACTCACAGACACAACCAGGTGGCCAATGTCATTCACCAAAAACTAGCACTCAAACACGCACTCATTCAAGATGCCAACACTCCGTACTACAATTATACACCAAAACCTACTCTAGAAAACACCACACATAAACTTTTTTACGACCGCGGCATTCTCACCGATAGGACAATCCACTATAACCGACCAGATATAATTCTACAAGATAAAATGAATAAGATTACTTACCTGATAGACATCTACACCAGATGAATTGATCAGAATTCTACACCAGGAGCTCGCTCTGAAATACGGTCTCGTGGACCGAAAATTGCCGTATTACAAGTACTTGCCGGAAGCCGTGCTCGAAAATGACCGCGCCAAGCTCTACTGGGACCGGGCCATCATCACAGACAGAACTATTCTTGCGAATAAGCCTGATCGTGGACCGGGCACAGTCAAGGATATCGTCAAGGATATATTTTGATCGACATTACCATTCCGTATGACGAGAACCTCGTGAAAGCCGAAACAGAGAAACGAACAAAATATCTGGACCTGGCTCACGAGGTGACCGACATGTGGGGTGGTCTGCCGACCGAAATTATTCCTGTAGTCGTCTCTGCGAATGGGCTAATCCCAGTCAGCCTCTCGGGTTATCAGAGGTGACTGGGACTCCGTGACGGACCGCTCCGGGTTCAAATGCAGAAGGCGGTGCTCCTCGATACCGCCCGCATCGCCCGCCGGTTTCTTTCCCTTTCCCCCTAACCCTCGGTTGTCTGGTCTCCCCTGCCGAGGGCTCCCATCTGGTTGGACCTTATTTATTTATGTAGTTTTTGTATTTATTTTATTTTATTGATATTTATGTACATTTATCCTTTCATTTTAATTTATAATTATATATTTATAGAACCCAACCAGGTGAGAAAATTATATAGATACCCCAATAATAATAATAGATGATGGACCGCTCCGGGCTCAAATGCAGAAGGCGGTGCTCCTCGATACCGCCCGCATCGTCCACCGGTTTCTTTCCCTTTCCCCCTAACCCTCGGCCGTTTGGTCTCCCCTGCCGAGGGCTCCCATCTGGTTGGACCTTATTTATTTATGTAGTTTTTGTATTTATTTTATTTTATTGATATTTATGTATATTTATCCTTTCATTTTAATTTATAATTATATATTTATAGAACCCAACCAGGTGAGAAAATTATATAGATACCCCAATAATAATAATAATAATAATACTTAAGAGAATTAGGACTAGGGGATGGTGAAAATTATACAGAAAAGGAAATAAAAAAAGCATTTATTAGAAAAAAGGTAAATGATTGGAAAACAAAACCACTTCATGGTCAGTTTTATAAGGATGTGATTGAAAGAGAAAATATAGATGTAAAGTTGGTTTTCATTCAGATGGTTTAAAACACAAAAAATAACTCCAGGATTGGAGTCATTTATTTTTGCTATTCAGGATCAGGCAATTGTAACAAGATATTATGAGAGAGACATACTTCAGAAACCTGTAGATGGGAAGTGTCGACTATGTCTAACGAAAGATGAAACAGTACAACATATTATATCAGGATGTGAGAAAATGGCTGGCACTTACTATACTAAGAGGCACAATAATATTGTACAGTACGTGTTCTGGACCTTTGCAAGAAAGCACGGATTTAGCGTAAGCAAAATGTAAGCGAAAATAATACAGCCAAACTAATGTGAGAAATGCCGTTCCATATTACAATAAAGCATAACCGGCCTGATATAATTTATATAAATAAAATTGAAAATAAAACTTACCTTATCGATATTACCGTACCGTCTGATTACAATATAGGAGCGAAGGAAATAGAGAAACTTAGTAAATATCATGCACTAAGAACTGAAATAACCAGGCTTTGGAAAACACCTACTGAAGTTATACCTGTAGAGGTTGGGGCCACAGGAATGATCGCTAAAAGCCTACATAAATATTGCAATAAGCTAGACTCCCATATCAACATAAACGTTATACAGAAGCAAGCAGCAATTCATTCGGTAACAATATTGTCCAAAGTTTTAGGTAATTCTATATTTGTTAGTTATGAGTCTGAGTCTACCTCTCCCTAAGGTTCATGGGCGGGGGCTTGGATAATACCAGGTTTATCTCGAACAATAAACATAAAAAAGGCGTAGGGAAGTGACGACCCCATCGCCCGCTGACGTAACAAATATGTGACAAAACTACTACGTCGGCGCAGTCAGTCAGCGCCCTGCCAAGAGGTGTGAGCGCCGTGCCTTGGCAAAATTGTGGGTGCAAAGGTCCGTTTGTGCATATGACCGAACCACGAAACGGTGCCGGGCTTGGGCGTCTCTCGTTATTTGGCGCCCATAAATGGATGATGGTACAAAGAGGAACGCGCATAGGGCCGCTGCCTGGGGGGTCGTCGGGGCGCGTCTGGAGCTGGCGCTGGACGCGGCAGCATGCGGGCCGCCAGCCGAGCGCGAGGAGCTGTACGATCACCTAGCAGCCCTCCGCATTCATCATTCCCACCAGAAGGCTTGGTGTCGGCTGGGTCTTCTCGGACTCAGCAAGCGGCACCCGCCGCTGGTGGAGCACGTCGCATGCGTTGGTTGTAACGTTGCACGTACATGTATGCATAATTATAATTAAACGGTTTATTAAAATTAAATAAACATTTAATAAACTAAATAAAAATAAATTAAAAGTTATTAACAAAAATAATTCTATAATTAACTTAGGTATCCTATTAATAAAACAAATCAGTAAACTAAAAGAACGAATTAAATAATAAATCAAATATTAAAATATTGTATTTCGAACAAACACTCTGACGCTTCGTTACTCTATGCACCTTGCAACTCTCGCGTCAGAGTTTTACCCGGCCGGTATTATTCCACGGCGTCGCGCTCCCGACGATTCTCCGCCCGAGCGCCCTGGGAGGCGCACACTACCACTGCAGCCGCGTTCACAAGCTCTGCTTTGTGTCCTCGTACGCGCTTGCAAATTTTAATCCCATTTTGGAAAAAGTTTAAAATAATATAATAATTCCGGCACTGTGGCCGTATAGTTTTTTCGTTAATTCTCGTCACCGAGACCTCCGTATCGTCTTGCACCCCGTAAGGGGTGCAATTTTACGACTACAACCGTGGCGGTCGCCCCTTTTTTAAGAGGGCCTAGGCCTCCCCCTCGACGCCGCCACCGCCACAGCCAGCTGCCCACGGCGCTCCCCGTGAACAGTCCAACCCCCCGGCCCTGCTCGACCACCTCGCGGTCACATAGGGGAGTACCTGACCCTGCCAGTGAAGCCAGACGGGCACTTTTTTTTTTAAAATTATCGGAACCACGCCCACGACCTTTTCTTTTACCAATATACAATTTTTTTTATGACTGGTTGTTGCCTTATTTTAAACTCCGACCGCCACATGGTCACAAACAATGAACGCAAACGCACTGCGGGTATACTTTAGGGCAAAAGGGGAAGAAACCGGATGTTTGGCATATCGGGCTCGGATGCATCGCTTTTTTGCAGACCTGGAGACATCTCTATCCGTCACTGAGCAAAACCTGGCAGACCGAGTTCGGTACATCCTGTGCTCCAACATATGTTGGTGACGCTGAACTCGAACGACTACGACGTGAGGCTGTTCCCTCATCGGATGGAAATGCTACGGCTGGGAATGCGACGCCACTAATTGCGCAGCAAACTGCAAATGTGGACGCTGCCGTCAATATTCCATTTGTGGTCGATTCGGACGATGATGGAATAGTCCCCCACGAACTAGAGAAAATGAGGAGCATATTGGAAGAGTCGATGCTGGAAACGCGCAGCATGCCTCTCGAAAATTGACCGCGACTTCCCCACATACCCCTTAGCAAGCGAAATCGGTCTGTCGTGCGGGCTCTTAACCCAATGCTGGTGACCTATTTGGAAGCCAGCCGTGACCTTTGCGAGACGGACTCAATCATTTTTGGCGCCGCACTGGCAGTATGCCGTATTATTGGCGCCAAACTTCCCATGGCTGGACGTGCTACTCAACAAGGTAGCGCCATCCCAGCCTGGAGAAAAAGAATCGAGGACCGTATCGCAAAGGCAAGAGCCCTTATCGGCAGACTGACAAGCTTCAGGTCGGGTAATAATAGACCGAGAGTTGTGCGCACCGTTAGAATGGCGTTTGCTGGGACAAATATTAGTTTGTCCCAGCCGGATATCACGCAGAAACTAACGGAGCGCATAGATGACCTGAAGCAAAAAATCGCTGCTTGGGGGAAGCAGATTCGACGATTTAGCGAGAGGTCAAGGCGGTTCAACCAGAATCGTCTCTTCCAGAGTGATCAGAAGAGGCTCTATAAATCATTGGAGCGACCAGAGGTATGTGGAGCGGGTCCAGGCCCGGATCAGGCTGACACTGTCGCATTTTGGCGTGGCCTGTGGTCAGAGCCCGTAAACCACAGCGAGGACCCTTGGATGGAAGTTGTGGCGAGCCAGAGTGCAAGTGTTACGCCTATGGACCCCGTCAACATAACGCCTGAAGACGTGGCTGAGGCGGTCCGTAGGGCCCCGAACTGGAAAAGTCCGGGGCTCGACGGGCTGCATCATTACTGGTTGAAGGGGTTCGTAGTATGTCACGCTGTGCTCGCCCGACAGTATCAAGAGGCTCTCGATCAGAAGTCGCTCCCGAGCCTCTTCACTACTGGGATCACTCACTTGGTTCCTAAAGATCAGGATACCACAGACCCGAGCAAATACCGTCCCATCACGTGTCTACCCACTATATATAAGACACTGACATCCATTTTGAGCGCTAGAATCACTCGTCACCTGGAGCTAAATCAGGTGATGTCACGCGCTCAAAATGGATCGACATTCACGTTTCCACGACCACCGCCCTGACGGGTGGTGGTGGTCATGACATGCCTAAGTGACTCACCGGTTGTACGCTGGACGCGTTACTGGACAAAGTAGTGCTATCCCAGCCTGGAGAATAAGAATTGAAGAACGTATCACAAAGGCTAGGGCCCTCATCGTCAGACTGATATGGTTCAGGTCAGGCAATACCAGGCCAAGGATTGTGCGCACCGTCAGGATGGAGTTTGCTGGGACAAATGTTAGTTTGTCCCAGCAGGATATAATGCAAAAACTGACGGAGCGCATAGACGACCTTAAGCAAAAAATCGCTGCTTGGGGAAAGCGAATTCGGCGATATACCGAGAGGTCGATACGGTTCAACCAGAATCGTCTCTTCCAGAGCGATCAGAAGAGGCTCTACAAATCATTGGAGCGATCAATAGTAAGTGGATCGGGCCCAGCACTAAATCAGGCCGACACGGTCGCATTCTGGCGCAGCCTGTGGTCAGAGCCCGTAAACCACAACGAGAGCCCTTGGACGGAAGTTGTGGCGAGTCAGTGTGCGGGTATTACGCCCATGGACCCCGTCATTATAACGCCGGATGACGTAGCTGAGGCGGTCCGTAGGGCCCCGAACTGGAAAAGTCCGGGGCTTGACGGGCTGCATCACTACTGGCTGAAGGGGTTCATGGTGTGTCACGCTGTGCTCGTCCGACAGTTTCAAGAGTCTCTCAACCAGAAGTCGCTCCCAAGCCTCTTCACTATGGGTCACTCATTTGGTTCCTAAAGACAGGGTGCCCAGACCCGAGCAAATGCCGCCCCATCACGTGTCTACCGACCATATACAAGCCACATCCATTTTGAGCGCGAGAATCGCTCGTCACCTGGACTCAAATCAGGTGATATCGCGCGCTCAAAATGGATGTCGGGGCGGCGGTCGTGGAACCAAGGAACCACTCCTCATTGACGCGGTCATTGGCAAAGTGGTGAAACGCAACCGTCGGAACTTCTCCGCCGCCTGGATAGATTACAGAAAGGCATTTGACTAGGCGCCCCATACATGGCTAAAGAGGGTCCTCGAGCTGTACAAGATTGACTGTACAGTTCGAGACTTCTTCGAGCAGTGTATGGGGCAGTGGAGTACGATCCTCTGTCATCTAGGCGAGCGGATGACGGCCGCGGAAAGCCGCATAAGGATAAGAAGGGGTATATTCCAGGGCGACTGTCTCAATCTGGTTCTGCCTCTCTTTGAACCCTCTCAGTACTTTACTGGAGGGCTCTGGGAGGGGATTTCAGCTTCGGAAACGAGGTACAAAAGTGACCCACCTTTTCTATATGGATGACCTCAAATTATTCGCCTCCAGTCGCTCTCATCTTATGGAATTGCTAAACATCACTTGTGAATTTAGCAATTCTATTAGAATGGAGCTGGGGACGAATAAGTGTGCGGTCCTCCATGTTGAAAGGGGAAGAATTGCTAACTCTGAGGGCATATACTTATATATGCCCGTCAACTTAAGGGCCCTTTCCGAGGCTGATACCGATACCGACATACCGATACCTGGGTATGTCACAGAACATCGATATCGATGAGGCTGGTATGAAACAGTCAGTTTTTGACGTGTTTTATGCACGCTTGACCTAAGTGCTTAACAGAATTTTTTCCGGTGTGAATAAGACACATGCATATAACGGTTGGGTCATGCCTGTCCTCAAGTATACCTTTGGCATACTCAGGTGGAGTCAGACTGAACTTAACGTCCTGGATAGAAAAGTCCGCACTAGAATGACGTCCCATAGGATGCATCATCCGAGATCGTCGGTAACGAGGCTGTACTTGCCGCGAAAGCATGGTGGGCGTGGCTTCCTGAGCGCGCTAACCATGCATAATCGCGAAGTGTGCAGCCTCCGTGATTACTTCCTGGCGAGATCGGATGATCCATTCTATAATGACTTCATTTCTAGTGATAAAGGACTTACCCCTCTATCCTTAGCCAACGAGCAATGGCAACACCCGGCAGTACAGAGCATTTCCGACCGGGAGACCGTATGGAAGGAGAAGTAGCTCCACGGGAGGTACTACAGGGCTCTACATGAGCTTCACGTAGATACAGCCGCCTCCCTCAACTGGCTATGTTTTGGTAACATCTTCGGGGAAACCGAGGGTTTTGTCTGTGCAATACAGGATCAGGTTATTAAGACCAACAACTATTGGAGATACATCCTAAAGGATGGCACTCTCGACGTCTGTCGAGCTTGTCGCCATCCCGGGGAGTCACTTAGGCATGTCATCTCCGGTTATTCGGCGCTTTCTAACTCTGAGTACTTGCACAGGCACAACCTAGTAGCCAGAATTCTACACCAGGAGTTCGCTCTGAAATACGGTCTCGTGGACCGAAAATTGCCGTATTACAAGTACTTGCCGGAAGCCGTGCTCGAAAATGACCGCGCCAGGCTCTACTGGGACCGGGCCATCATCACAGACAGGACTATTCTTGCGAATAAGCCTGATATTGTGCTGATGGACCGGGCACAGTCAAGGATATTTTTGGTCGACATTACCATTCCGTATGATGAGAACCTCGTGAAAGCCGAAACAGATAAGCTATCAATGTGTGTGTGTGTGTGTGTGTGTGTGTTTATGAAATAAAAATTTCTATACGCTTAACCACAGGGTTATTGTTATATGTTGTATAGTACCCGGATGACCGAGCTTTGCCCGGTTTTTTTTTGAAATTACATTTATAAATTACATACTGATGAAACATAAATAATATTTTTTGATCTTATTGACAGAATAGAAAAAACTGAACTGGTTATTTGAATAAAAAATCATGAGTGCAATTAGTTTAATTCAAATTTTCGTATTTTTAAAAAATACTAAAAAAAGGGCTTGAAATAATAGATTTTCTCACAAAAGAAGGGAACTTGAAAAAAAGGAAAAAGTTTTTTTTTTTTTTTTTACATTTTTTTTTCCGGACCAGAGACAGGACGCGAACCACGGAACTCCGATATCACGCCCAACAACCGACATCCTACCTAAGCTATTACGATCGTTGGTAATCTGTCAAAATTTACCTTCTTATATTGTAGCAGTGTTTTTATTGCCTGAAAACACGGACAAAAGGACATTTTCTAAAAATAAATCCTAGCTAGATCGATTTATTGCCCCCCGAAATTCCCTGGTCACTAAATTTTATGAAAATCGTTGGAGCCGTTTCCGAGATTCCGATTATATATATATATATATTTTTTTTTTTTTTTTTTAATTAAAAAATACACAATACAAGGCCTTGTTTTTTTTGTGAGCCTTTTCCAAGCGGGAAGGGATAATTAATAATAAATTAATAATGTAAACCTGATACAAGTGGAGTAGGGACTTTTTAATGTTCTTAACCTTTCTCGAGCCCTGTCTTCGTGAACGGGGTTCACTTAGGCATTACCAACATATTTCAATTGCTCCAATGAATATTCATTCTTGCAAAAGACATCTAAAAGAACTAAGTTACTAAGCAAACACAACGTAAATACGGGTCCTAACTAAAATGATCACGTCAAAAATATCACAAACGGCCTATTACAAAACCTTTAGAAAGATCTTTTTTGATCACATATATTTAATATAAAGGGGGAAATAAAAATAATAATATAGATATAATTAGATATAGAGGGAGGGGGGGGGTTACAATACCATATGGATGATTGCCGGTCCAACACCGTGCGATTTATGAAAAGTTTCTTCATTGCACAACTTTCTTGTGGAATCGGTTACAACCATCGATTTTGCAGGGCTTAAAGATCTTCAATAAAAGAACCTACTCTTTTTCAAAAGGCCGGCAACGCACCTGCAATTTCCCTGGAGTTGCAGGTGTTCATGGACGGTGGTAGTATATTAATATCAGGTGAGCTGAATGCTCGTTTGCCTTATATTAAAAAAAATCTATTAGCAATAACGATTGTAGAATGTTAACTTGGCCAACCTCGCTGTTCTTCCTAGAACCACCATTTTCTTATTTCGTCTATCGTCGTCTAGATAAACTACAAAATAAACTTACAATATTATTAATTTTCAATATATATATATATATAAAATAAGTTAAAAGAAGGTGAAAATTAGGCTGCATAAATACTACGCCAAATGATGCATATTATGCTACTCTAACACTTCAAGATTTACGCGCGTCATCAAAATTTAAATTTGCGCTCTTCAGCAAATGTGGACACTTTTATGTAGGGCAGATATAGTTTTCAAAAACATACACGTACATGATGTAGTAAAATTAAGGCAGTGATGTGAGTTACATTTTATGACAAGCAAGTGATTTACCTATATAAAAATAGTTTTAATTTGTAATAATAATAATTATAATATAATTAATAATATAAGTAAAAATAAAATTTAAAATAATTTAGTGAAGTATAATATAAGTGTGTCGCATAGCGCCTAGTCTACGCAGGATCTATTTGCGAGTAAATTTTTAATCGGAGCTTGTTTATAAAAAGCGCTGTTTACGAGTCGCTCACAGTCATATCCTTACGTAGCTGTTAAACGGTTGGTAAACTGGCAGCTCGGTGTATTGATTTTTTTTATACTCGTAACAAAATAATAAATCGATCAAAATTATAGTATAGTTCAATAGTTTAGTGAATAACAATGGCGTTTCTTGAGGGACCTTCGCCGAAGCAAGCAGAAATTATTAAACAGGAACTGGGTGAAGGATCTGGTGATTTAGAGCGAGGAGTCAGAGACCTTCAGAGTATGTGCGCAGCCTCGCCATACTTGCCGCAACCTGAAGTCATAGGTATGGAAAGCACTTCCGGTGAAATTTTAACTACCGGAAGATGTTTTGTTTTACTATATTAGAGTAAATTAAAAAGTAATACAAAATTGTGTTTATACTTACACGCAGGCATATGTAAAATATTAGGCTTATTTTGTATGCATCTAATTTGTAAACATAACTACCTAATTTGTTTTCCTTCGATGCATCGTTGTTAAGTGCATACTTTAAACAAAATTACCACTTGTGTATAATATTGTAAATATTATACTTAATACATATTTATAAACAATACATATTCTATGTTTTGTGTATTATATTGTAAGTAAACACAGAATAAAATTGATTAAATATTTTTTTTTGGATTACACTTTTTTCTAGACTGCGGTGAATTCAAAAGTAAACTGATAAATATGTAGGTGTTCGTTATATATTGTATAAGTATCTCTAGTGTTATTGAAGAATAAAATAATTGATTTTAATGAATATTTTAGTAAATGCATTAGCATACGTATTGGTTTGAACACTTATTTCGGATAGGGTTATAGACCCTTGGACGGTGATTATCTTGGCCACCCTGCCCCAGAGCTGGGTGATGGAAATATATTTATTTTCAGAGAGGCAGATTTCCTTACGACGTTAACTTTCACCGCCGATCACGTTATAAATATTTAAAATTTCACTTAAAAATTTCATTGGGGATCAAATCTGGGGTTCTCGCGTACCGTGAATATTGTCACGGCGAGCGCTTTAGCCTACTTTAGCCCTTGAGAGAACCATTGTAGCTCAGAGAGCTACTCGTACATGCTAGAAAACATTCTAAAAACCACTGTCTTACTGCCGTCAGTGATATATTTTTATATATACATATTACTGATTGTCGTCTGTTTTTGTGTAAAAAAATAAATTAAAATAAAACTGTCTTGTTAGTAATGTTTTTGCAAGTCAATTTAATAATTAATTCGATTATAAATGAAATTACTGTTGCAGGATTTGAAATTTTAGC